AGCAGTTCCTGGCGGGCACCGTGGACACCCAGTTCATCGACGAGAACCCGGAGCTCTTCCAGCTGCGGCCCGCGCAGAACCGGGCCCAGAAGCTGCTGCACTACCTCGGTCCGCCCCGCCCCTGCTCGCCCCTGCTCGCCCCTGCTCGCCCCCTCCTCGCCTCACGTGGCCCCCAAAGGTCCACCCTGCCCAGACCCAGCAGGCCCTGGCTTGGAGAGGCGAGGGTAGCTGGAGGATGGGGATCCCGAAGCAGCGCCCCGCCCTGAGCCCAGCCCTCCCAGACGCTGCCCGCCTGCCCTGAGCGTGGCCCCTTTCTCCCCAGGACACGTCATGGTGAATGGCCCCACCACCCCCATCCCCGTCAAGGCCAGCCCCAGCCCCACAGACCCTGTCGTCCCTGTGGTGCCCATAGGTAGGTGAGCTCCGTCCGGGCAGCACGGGGGGACGGTGGAGGCTGCGCTCTGCAGGGCGGGCACCGACTCCCTGTCCCTGTCCCAGGCCCACCCCCCTCTGGCTTCAGAGACATCCTGCTGCAGGAGGGGCCCGAGGGCTTCGCGCGAGCTGTGCGGAACCACCCGGGCTGCTGCTCATGGACACGACCTTCAGGGACGCCCACCAGTCGCTGCTGGCCACTCGCGTGCGCACCCACGATCTGAAGAAGATCGCCCCCTATGTCGCCCACAACTTCAGCAGGCTCTTCAGCGTGGAGAACTGGGGCGGTAGGCTGCTGGGTGGGACGCGGCACCGCGCGGGCAGCAGGGGCGAGGGAGGTCGCCCTCGAGAAACCCGGGCTGGGACCGGAGAAGGCGGACACTGGCCCCCACCGGCTCGGGCCAGGCCTGGGGGGGCCTGGGGGGCAGAGGCGCAGCTGTGCCCGGGGTGCTCCGCTCCGGGAGGAGCCGCCAGTGCCTAGACCGTCGTGGCACAGACACCGGAGGCGGGAGGGCGGGCAGGCTGCCCGAGGGCACGGGGCCCGTCAGCGCTGAGCCGGCGTCCTGGTCCCTGTGCAGGCGCCACGTTCGACGTCGCGATGCGCTTCCTCTACGAGTGCCCGTGGCGGCGGCTGCAGGAGCTGCGGGAGCTCATCCCCAACATCCCGTTCCAGATGCTGCTGCGGGGAGCCAACGCCGTGGGCTACACCAACTACCCCGACAACGTGGTCTTCAAGTGAGCCGGCTGCTGCTCCCACGGCGGCTCAAAGCCGGGGCCCCGCAGGGCCGGTGGGCTCCTCCAGCCCTGGCTCACCGTGGGGCGGGCAGTGCCTGGGGGACACAGCTCGTCCGGGTGCACCTGCCGTGGGGGCCCTGCCCCCTCAGACGTCACCCCCAGAGCGGCAGGGCGGGGGCGGGAGGTAGTAAAGGGCCGCGTGTGTGTGTGTGTGTGTGTGTGTGTGTGGTGGGTGCTCACCCTCGCGCTCCCACACATCCAGGTTCTGTGAGGTGGCCAAAGAGAACGGCATGGACGTCTTCCGGATCTTTGACTCCCTCAACTACTTGCCCAACATGCTGCTGGGCATGGAGGCCGCGGGCAGCGCCGGGGCCGTGGTGGAGGCGGCCATCTCCTACACGGGCGACGTGGCCGACCCCAGCCGCACCAAGTACTCGCTGCAGTACTACATGGGCTTGGCGGAAGAGCTGGTGCGCGCCGGCACGCACATCCTGTGCATCAAGGTGCCCATGCCCCTGGCCCGGACCCTCTGCCCCCCACGGGCCCCGCACGGTCCCCTCCTCACCGTCTGTCTCCTCCCTCCTGCCAGGACATGGCCGGGCTGCTGAAGCCGGCGGCCTGCACCATGCTGGTCAGCTCCCTCCGGGACCGCTTCCCCGATCTCCCCCTGCACATCCACACCCACGACACGTCGGGGGCGGGCGTGGCAGCCATGCTGGCCTGCGCCCAGGCTGGGGCGGACGTCGTGGACGTGGCGGCTGACTCCATGTCTGGGATGACCTCACAGCCCAGCATGGGGGCCCTGGTGGCCTGCACCAGAGGGACTCCGCTGGACACAGGTAGGGACAGCAGCCCACGGCGTGCCCTGGACTCTGCACTGTCCGCAGCCCCAGCAGAGCCAGGGGCCTGCTCTGGCCTGGCCGCCCCCCCCCCCCCAAGGTGGGACCTGAGCCGGCCGGGGGAGGAGCCCTCCTCTGACCCCGCCTCCCCGCAGAGGTGCCCCTGGAGCGCGTCTTTGACTACAGCGAGTACTGGGAGGGGGCTCGGGGCCTGTACGCCGCCTTCGACTGCACCGCCACCATGAAGTCTGGCAACTCGGACGTGTACGAGAACGAGATCCCCGGCGGCCAGTACACCAACCTGCACTTCCAGGCCCACAGCATGGGGCTGGGCTCCAAGTTCAAGGAGGTCAAGAAGGCCTACGTGGAGGCCAACCAGATGCTGGGAGACCTCATCAAGGTGAGGCGTCCCGGTGCGCTCGGCTGCACCCACCCTGCACAGCCCCTCGGTGCCCGGCACCCTAACTCCCGGGGCCTTCTCCTCAGGTGACGCCCTCCTCCAAGATCGTGGGGGACCTGGCCCAGTTCATGGTGCAGAACGGGCTGAGCCGGGCGGACGCCGAAGCCCAGGCCGAGGAGCTGTCCTTCCCGCGCTCCGTGGTGGAGTTCCTGCAGGGCTACATCGGCGTCCCCCACGGCGGCTTCCCCGAGCCCCTGCGCTCCAAGGTAGGGCCGGCGTGGGGGGAGGCCCAGGCCGGGAGCCCGCGTCGGAGCCTGACCTCCTCTCTCCCCCCCCAGGTGTTAAAGGACCTGCCCAGGGTGGAGGGGAGGCCAGGAGCCCGCGTCGGAGCCTGACCTCCTCTCTCCCCCCCCAGGTGTTAAAGGACCTGCCCAGGGTGGAGGGGAGGCCGGGAGCCTCCCTCCCCCCGCGTGGACCTGCAGGTGCTGGAGAAGGAGCTGGCAGAGC